GCATTTTCTAAACTCTGAATTCTAATACGTCATTCTAAAATATTAGAATATATTTGGAAGTGATTTTATCATCACTGCTAAAATTAATTTTGTTCAAAATAGTAAYATCTTACCATAATGTACAAGTGATTTTTAGAATCTGGCAAAAGCGGTCCAAAATTATTATCAAACATGTCCATGATTTTTCAATAATTATAATCTTGGTGCAAATGTGATGATCATCTTGACTAAGTATATTTGGAAATAAGACTTTATTGATAACAATTAGGAAAAAGCCTTAGGGCTATATCAGCACCCAAAATCGATGATCAACCTCAGCGCACTATACCCGTACATACGCAAGGAGTTATTATTTGGTGGGATTGCATTCCACATGGTGACTTGACAAGACCTCAARGATATTCATTGAAGCACCAAGCCACCCAAGTTATCCTTTGGGMATTGATATTGACCTATAGTAATTACTAAATTACAAACGACTCAGTGTTATAAAAAATTAACTCATTAAAATGTTATTATACTAACCAAGGATGACCTCAAATCTAAATTCACATGTAATTTTTTTTTCTTTTTACGTTTAGTAACATTAAGGGTTTGATTGAAAAAATGAACACATATATAAAAAATGTAAATAAAGTTTTAAAAAATTAAGGATGGAGAAAGCATCTTGAAATGTCTACGTAGGCTTTTCTCTCAATTTTAGACCAAACCTTAATRTCGTAGAATATATATAGACACTCTCACTAAACGTAGTTGCTGATTCTTTGACAAAATTTTCTATATCAATATAGGCTTTTTGAACAGTAGTAGAAGACGACAAATCCTTGAGGGTAGTTCACGAGGATTTTTTTTTTATTTTTTCATTACCGAGGAGTCGGGCCCTTTCAAAGTTATTCTTTGAGGTTCTAAGCTATCCAAGCTATCCTTAAAGACCGTTCACGAGGCTTTTTCTAGCTAATAAAGTCTTTCTTAATTATATCTGAAGAAAAGAAAGAATATACATAGGTATAAATTCTAAGAGCCATGATTATTTTGCATTTTATAATTAAGATTTGTTCTTGAAGGTTCTCACATTCTCGAGAAGTTAGAAAGAATTAGCCATTGATTCTTGCTTGGAAAGAATTCAATGGACATACAAAGGCACAAATATCAATATCAAATTTATAAGATCATAGACAAAAACAATGTTTTTATAGCATAAGACAAAATTTATCGTATCAAATTGTGTAGTGAGGATCATTTTCAATTTAATCACTATAGATTCTCTGATCTTATTAAAAAATAGACAATATAGATTATTCTCTTCCAAACTTAAAATGGTTTTAAATTATAGATATTATTGAAGAAGAAAGAAAAAACCCTTAAATTTCATTTCTTCATGTATCAGATTTTTTCTTTTCTTCTTTGATTTTCTTCCCATATCAGATTTTGGTTGATTGTTTTGTAAATATTAAGCATGGGGAGATTCAACCTTCGACTTCAAATAAAATAATGATTATATTATCTATTAAACTATGCTCGGATTGACAAGAAAATTGTACTTGAAACCCATTGAAATTAATTCCCTAGGTAAGTTAGCCACCACGGGGTTTGAACCCATTTTCTCTCGCTTTTTTTTTATAGCATTTCCTCCCACTTTACCCTAAACTCTTCAGATTTTTTTTTTTTTTTTTGAAACAACAGCCACCCTGATGGTTAGTTTTTACAATACATACAATTAATCATCAAATTGACCATTCATTCACAATTTTTTTAACCTAAAGTTAGGAGACAATATTAAATTATAGATATATAGATAAAAAGAAATCCTTAAACTTAATTTTTCTTCCCAAAACAATTTTGGTCGACCGTCTAGCTTGTACAGTATCACAAATAACTAAGATTTCTAACGCCGATCTATATAGATATTATTTCTGAAAATTTTATAAAAATAAAAAAATAATTAAATTACCAAATGGCATAAGATATTTATTTTCATCTTAATCTCACCTATCAATTGTGTAGAAGTAGAAAAAAATATAAAGGAAGAAGAAAAGAGAAGAAATTAAAAAGAAAAAGAATGTATATATATATATATATATATATATATATATATTTTTGAAACAATGGATATAAATGAGTTGAAAATAAGAAAGGAATTTATTAATGGTGTATAGCCATTATTTCAGCTATCAATGGTGGTGAGTGGCTTATTGCCAAACACCAAACATTCAGAACAGCATTCCATTCAAACATCTATTGCATGTAGTACGTAGTATAGTTCTCAAAAGCTATACTACACTTTTTCGACACTTTTTCGATCGAGTGCTCCTACACGATATGGCTGGAAAGCTCGATCTTATATTTTTTAATAATGAAAGATACATTTTTAAAAAAATAAAAATAAAAGGTAATCTCTCAAATATAAACACAATAAAACAAATAAGGAGAGGATAGTTTCTCTTTATTTTTTTTTTAATTTGTGGGTGTCTGGATCAACTTACGTACAACTTGACTGATCTTAAGGGACAATCGTCTGGTCTTACTACATTTTAGTTCTCGAGGAAACATATAGAATATTAAATTTTAAGTAAGTGGCCACCATGAGATTTGAACTCTTTCAACAATTTGTTGTAATTTTATAAAATTCTTAAAGATTTTTTAGGTTTAAAAAAAATTATGATCTCGCCCCTGTCTATGAGTACTCGTCCTCTTTTTCTTTTTAATTTTTTGTCAGTATTCATCTAACTTCTTCACTTATTCCATGATTTGAGAGGGAACACTGTACATGTTTACTAGTGCATATATTATCTAGTGCAATTTTAAATATATCTTTGAGAAAATATGGTCAAAAATTAATTGATGGTTTTGTAGTGATTTGTATATTAATTAAAAATCTAGATGTAATGTGACTATCTTTGATCTTCTTTTGCTCCATATTCCCATCTCAAATATAATGTCTTTTTGTCTCTATCCCTACTTAAATAATATATAAAACCTTACGATGAAAAAAACAAAAAAAAAATAGTTTGAATTAAATATAACTAAAGTTGAACACTACAGCTTAAACAATGCACATCGATAATATTGTAGTACAATTATAGGAATCGTTAAAATTTATCGAGTTGACTCAAAAGATTATTAAGTGTTAATTATGTCAACTATTTTCAATAAGTTGGTATATATAATTGTATTAACCACACAACTTTAAAGAAATCTTATAGGATTGAATCTCTTTTTCTTAATTTGTGAAGTAATACTATAAATAAAGAAAAAAACGGATATGTTATGTCTATTTATTTATATATCCGTGAAATATGCATTTATATAAAGTAATAAAATAAATACTTTCCTCATCAAATGGTATTTTTAAATCCTTATGACTAAAAATGGTTATATTATTTCATATAGAATATTATGTAAAATATATAAATATATTTTAATCTTGAAATTTATTTTTAACATTTTTTTGGGTAGCTGGAAAGTATAGCCAAAAAAAAAGAATTAATAGTAAATTTCAAATATAGCAACTGTTTTCCAATTTGAAAATATAGGAAAAAAAATATAAAGGTTGAACCAAAACGAAAAAATAGAAAAATATCCTTTGCATTGATATATCTAATATCAAATATATCAATGATATGTTTTATATTATATATGTATACTAATACCTAAAATATAATATATATCATTGATATATTTAGTGTCACTGGGTGATATAATTGATCGGTGATAAACCTAAAATGAAATATATCAATTTTATAAGTTATATATTTCATATTACGTATATCAATAATATCGTCAATATACCGAATACGAAGTATATTGTAACGCAAAGGCAAAAATATTGTAATAACAAAAAAAAATTGAAAATCTGATTAAATTTTTTTCTATGATACTTACAAAACTAAAAAATTGTTGTTATATATTTGCAAATTTGATAAATATTTTTACTATTCGTTAAAGATATCATATTTTTATTTATATACATATCGATTCTTTCTAACATCGTTAAGGATGAATAAATCACTCACTCGACTCAAAAGCTTACATGTTTATTTTTATATTTTTTTAATGGTTTTTTTTTCACAAATGACCATATAATTGATATTGTTGACTTTATTTCTTCTCATATTTTATACTAAGATTGTTCTTAGAAATTTTTATTTTAGAATATAATACAAGGTGAAAGATTCGAAGCTACGGATGATTTAATTAGCTAATTTTTCATATTCATAACTTTAATAGAAACCTTATTTTAATTTAGCTAAAAACAACTTTGTTCTTTGAGCTAGTTTTTCAGAATGTCTAGGAGTCACATGCATAATTTTGACTCCTAAACTGTCGATTTCATTCAATATTTTTTTTAATTTAAATTAAATCCAATTACCATAATTTGAATTAAACTTTTAAGAAAATTTTAACGAGTACATGTTTTTAAAACGTATTTATAAATGAGTATCAGACACGAAATTGAAAGTTTATGAACCTAATAATTTTAAAAGTTCATTGACTAAATTTGTAATTTGATTAACTACAATCATTGATACATCCATCGATCAATTAATAGGAATAATTGATATAGTTTGATTAATTTTGCTATATTTAGAAATACTCTAAAAATCATGACACTATTAAGAGATTAAACTTTCAAAAAAGTAATTGATGTCTATTTATTAAACTGAATTGACGCTGTAACATCTTTTCTTTTTTATTTAAATATGATTTTTTCTCTATTTCAACAATTATACGTGAGATGATTTTTTAGAATTAGTGTCTTGTCTATTTTTGCAATATGCCACCTAAATTGCACTCTACAAATAAAGAAACTTGTTTTTTTTTTAGAACAATATGGTAAATTGCTTTTTCAGACCTAATATTTATTTATTTATTATACCTAATAAATAATAATTAATGGGTCACACTCTAGCGAGTTCAATAATTTTTCCTACAATCAGTTACTGGAGAGAGAGATTTAGAAGAAATTTCAACAGAGTTTTGGGATTGATATAAATGTAACGAACGAAGGAACAATTTTGTGAGACAAATAAAAGGCAACACACAGAGCTCACAAAGTTCTCCCAAACACTTCAAAACAAAACGAATCCCACATGGGTTCTTTGCCTTCTGAAACTTTGGCCCTCGAAATGACAGAGACCCATCTTAATGTCGGAGACAGCCGCGCCGGCGCCGGCGCCGGAGCAGAGACCGCTCAATGGCTGCTCAATTCTCCCGACCCTCCAACTCTGTGGGAAGAAATTGTCGGCGCCGTCAAAGAGAATGCCATTCCCCGCAGTTGCACAGAGGCCCCCACGGCGAAGAAGAAGAAGAAGAAAAGCACTTCTTCAAGCTCTGGAAAACAGAACATTTTCAAAACCGCAGTTTCCCTTCTGCAGAAAGCGCTTCCAATCCTCAGCTTGAGCAGAAATTACAAAGCTTCCAAGTTCAGAAACGACCTCATGGCTGGTTTA